AGGTTCAACTCTTCGAGTTGACGCTGGTATTGTACACAGGTAAGTTGGGAAACTAGGGATCGAGCCCTGGGATCTACCTCAGCTACCACGAATTGGTGAATACCGTTTCACGTGTATGTAACCAACAAAAACCGAGAAGACATATTGAACCACAAAAAGAGAGAATAGCTCGCTAGTACGTGCCTGATCCTAGCTGCTCAAATCTGCCAAGACAGAGAGCTAGCAAGACTGGAATGCGGGTTGTTTTAAAAGACCCCAGATTCTCTCTCTCGTTCCCTTCACAAATCATCACAAGCCATCCATAACGAAAAAACATAGATCGGAAATGTAATAGAAAATACAAGGTTGTGTGTGTGTGTGTGTGTGTGTGTGTGTGTGTGTGTGTGTGTGTGTGTGTGTGTGTGTGTCTGCCTGTCTGTACACTTGATGTGAATGTGGAAGCTAACGCTGAAAGGGTAGGGAATTCAGGTGAGTCACAGTGCCACTTGAGCCATCAAGGCGGCGGCTGATAGAACCTGAAGCGCCAACCGCTTGAGGAAGCACGACGACTGTTTATGAGACCAGGAACACTGGAAACGGTTGCAGAGGGACCCGAATCTCGAGGACCCGAATCTCGAGGACCCGAATGTCGAGGACCAAGGGCAGTTACAACGAGTGTTTGATAATCAGCACAGAGAGAGGAATCTGGCCCTGATTGTTATTGTCATTTTTTGAACTTCATATGAAGGAATTTAGCATTGCGCTTTGACTGACTCTGTGGCCGCCATGTGCATGTTCCCGTCCGACAAGTAATGCCGTCGTCAAATGCACAGATGCCTTCTGACGACATGCCCTTCTCTCTCAGAATTCCCCATTTCTGTGAGAATACCCAGCTTTGCTCTCTTAACAGATCCACACGATGTAGAGACCCCCAATGCGCTGATGAATGCGTCGAAGCAGCTCTCGTCAGCTAAGCTCCAGGCACGGAATGGTGAGTTGTTGATGTCAATGCTGAAGTGTTCTCTCCGGTCAGCCAAGAGGCTTGGGATGCGTGCTGCAGTGCGTCCTGCCTCGAAAGAGACTTGTATGTATAGGCTGTGCTTTGAAAGAGACTTGTATGTATAGGCTGTGCTTTGAAAGAGACTTGTATGTATAGGCTGCGCTTTGAAAGAGACTTGTATAGGGTAAGTTGGATTTAATTAAGGACCAGAGTCCATTCCGAGCCTCTTTGTTTTCTGACGTGGATTTCTGCTGCATGGGAAAGTTAATGAACGGCGGTCCAAAAATAACAATAATAATAATAATAATAATAATAATAATAATAATAATAATAATAATAAAATTAAATAAATAAATAAATAAATAAAGTAAAAAAAAAATAAAAAATAAAAAATGAACCGCTGTCCAGTAGGCCCGATCTAATCTCCAGGCACCGATTGGCGCATGCAATTCTGAACTGGTTTTCAAGGCTGCCAAGGAATATTATGAAACCCCCCATGATGAATATCTAACTGGGTGAGTATAATCGCCGGTCCTACCAGAGTGATTATAGGCAACGGCTTGGTGGTTTGCATCAATGTGATCGATCCCTGGAAGCGCGTGAGGATGATTACTGACGTCACCTGAAGAAAACGCCTGGTAATTGTGGCTGAACCTGGACTGAAAGTTGTGCCAAATGCGGTGATAATGACCAGGCATTCCAATTGGTTGAAGACAGTAGGCACGAATCCACTGATTACACAGTGCAAGAAGTTAAATAAGCTCTTAACATTTCCATCGACGAACGGACCTCCGGACAGTTTAAGAGCAAGCACTAGGTCGTGATGGTTGGTGGTTTTGGGATTCCGTAGAAAATGCATCCTTGATGCCTAGAGTAGTAGCCACTTCTTGTACTCGTTCAGTCGTTTCATTTAGGTCCTTTTTTTGTTTGTTGAGGATTACTTGCAATCTGTTCACATCTTTGCACACAGTCATTGACGAATAAACTTCTAGACAGTCAGTGAGCAAGTGCGAACACTTCCATCGACAAACAAACTTCAGGACAGTGAATTGCAAACGGTGCTTGTGACGAATATTTTCTTACGGCCACTTGCCTCGTCTAATTTTCATTGCGGACGCTAGAAGCAGAGCAAAAAAATGAAAATATTCTTAAACCAGAAGGACTTGTGAGCCTTTGTCGAACAGGGTTGGTCATGAAATCGCACATTTTTGGTCGGCACCGCCAGCTTTTTTGTTTCGGGAGTCTGAGCTCCGAAAGACATGGTGTTGTGTTAATTGATGCGCTTGATCGAAATAGCAGGTATACGTCGTCCTTCGGGACATTAATTTGTTAAAACTTAAAGAAGTGGAAAGATATGGAGGAAGGAGCATGAGCCTTGCACAAGGATGACACACATGAAACGACAAATGGTCCCAAAAGAAGAAAAAAAGCAGGCAAAGGTACACGTGGTTTAGTTATATACAAAAGTGGAAAGATATGGAGAAAGGAGGCCTGTGTTTCAACCGGAGAACTCTCGCGCAGACAAGCACTCTCCTCACAGTTATCGTCGCCACATGCTGGACAGTGCTGGACAGTCTCTGTCTCAGTGTGCCGCCTGGCCTCCAAATCGGAGGGCGCCCCAAGTCGGGAGTCCGATGTGGCAAAGTGGACTCCCGAATGGATTTTCGGGTCTTCTGACGTTCGGGACTACTCCCAAAAAAATTCTCCAAGGCGGGAGTAGTGTGGCGAGGCCCACAGCCAGCAGGCCTAACTACACGCACATTAGGAAAAAAATTGGGCGTGTGTCATGAGATTGAATCCTCCACTGGAA